AGCCAGGTAAAGAAATCTTTGCAAGATCAAGCTTTTGGCGTACAGGGTCTTTTTTCTTTCCTACTTATTTACATGATGTCTTAAAAATGCCTAGCACATCACCTCAGCATCTAGCACATAAGAGGTCAAAATATAATGATGTGTAGCATCACATTTTATAGTGCTTTACAGTTTATGAAGCATTTCCACATATGTTATCTTACTAGCTGACCCTAGGGAGGATCATGGAACATCATTAAAAAAAAAAAAAATCCTGGTTGCCCCTCACCCTGAAGTATGCTACATAGAACTGTCCACATACCAAGCAATTTCGAAAGAACTTGATTACAAATCAATGCCTGAAATTTGGAATGTTTGCCCTTGTGACTTTTCAATCTGCATGGATATTTGAAAGGTCTGTCTGCTGTTCTGTGTACAGTATCTTAATGGTAAATCCAATCTTTCTCAGACAGCAGTGGCACAGGAGGGCAATTTATTTGCTCTGAGATATGGCCGACTTTCTTTCAGAGGTACTCATCATAGCGACCAGTTGCCGTTAAGTCGATTCATAGGGTTTTCAATAGCTGACCTTTCGGAAGTAGATTGCCAGGTCTTTCTTCTGAGGCATCTCTGGGGAGACTCGAACCCCCAACCTTTCAGTTAGTAGCCGAGCATGTTAACCATTTGTACCACCCAGGGACTTGCTTGACTGCTAAATGAAAGGTTGGAGGTTTGAGTCCTTCCTTCCAGAGCCTCCTCAGAAGAAAGCCTCGTGATTTCCTTCTGAAAAATCAGCCATTGAAAACCCTGTGGAACACAGTTCTCCTCTGACACATGTGAGGTTGCTGTCAGTCAGAATCGACTCACCGGCAGCTGTTTTTCTCATCATAGCTACCCAGTGATGCTTTTACATACAGCATCCAGCCTGTATTTTCAGGCAGATAAATCCACACATACCTTCCAAATTTGCTGAAAATCCAGTCAGCCGTTCTCATACGATGTGTAAATGAAGGCAAACACTTTAAATATATTTACACTGACTTGACCGTCACAAGCATCACCGTCTCTTTCATTTTTGTTTGTTCTTAGCACAAAAGATTGCTGAGGCAGTGTTTTATGTTCACAGGAAAGGGGATGTTATGAAAGGTTCCACCAGTCAGAGGAAGCTGCAGGAAGGCAGGTTTAAGTTCAATATAAGCAGTAACCTTCAAATAAAAAGTGGAATGGGACGTTTGGGAACGATGTG